TTTTGATGTTTAGATTTTAGTGTTAGGATATTGGTTTGCTTTAGAATACTGAATTTGATGTTTTGTTGGTTTGAAAACTGTTAGTTCGTATTAGTGTAAATTTTATATATAAATGTGAGTTATGTGTTGTTTGTGAAAGTTTTGTGTTAGAATGATGTTTGTGCATGCTTAGAAATGTTCATTTGAGTTAATTAGAGGTTGACGTAAGACGAATCAATATAAAGGCATGATTAAAATGCCATAAGGGGCCACCACACATAAAAAATGATGTACCAATGACCGAGAGAAAGTATCATACTCTTACTTATAAAAGCTGAGAGATAATAATCTCAAACTAGTATAACTGGCCTCAAATAAATGATGGGTGTCTTTTATTCAATGCACTACCCAAGGTGGTGCATCAACTATGCAACTCATAAAATAGAATAAGACAAAATTTTATTAGCTCTTAGGGTCATAGCGCAAAAAACCCAACAATATAACTGCTGAAAAGGAACTATGGTATTGTATTCCCATAAATAGGAGATACACTGAATCATAAAGTATAAGGTAATTTCTTGTCACTAATAGTGGTATTGTGACTTTAGCCTAAGTTGAAAAAAAATCCATACATGGTCATGACTATGAGAGCAGTGTTATTGTTTGATCCTGTGAACTTGACATTATTGTGTCACATGACAACACTTGATCACCAATCAAAATCAAATCGGGAGACCTCATGTCATTCTGAAAGCAATGACTCATGATTACCAAAAGAGTGAAGCGATGACTGAGCACCTAGGAGTGGCACTAAGATCTCATTTCATAACCAAAAAGGAAAAATATCATAATGCCCAAAAAATGGAATTATGGTACCTATGTGAGCTAAGGCTCTATACTCAAAGGAGCAATAAAAAAAGACATGGCCAAGGTAAGGAAATGTAGGGGTCTAACCCAAATCTCCTTCAATAATAGCTTAGCCTAGTTCTTTTAACATAAAACCTATGATTCTTCCTATAAAGAAAATATGCACAAGAGAAAAGGCTGTAAGCAGATGGAAGACAACTTCCAAGGACGATCAAGACACATCATGAAGCAGATCTACCTCAACAAAACTTTCCTTAGCTTTAAACAACATAACCGACAGGGCCTCGAGGTTGTTCTTTTAGCCCGACGTAAATCCTCACACTATCATTAGGCTCCTGCACAGTCATGTTGTGCAGCATAAGTCTTAACTCTCTTTGGGTGTTGAGGCTGTCGTTCGGTATAACTTAAACCCTCCTATCTTCATAGGCATTTGCATGATTGCGTATTATGCAAATTTAAGCCCTAAATAATAAAATTGGTAAGAGTGAACATTTAAATAACATCACCTCTAAAATGTGCAACCAAACAATAAGATAGTTTTAGAAGTCACTGAGATTTTTCTCATGACCTGTGACATCGCCTACCTTTCAGTCTTTTGGATTTAAAAAACAACTGTTCTTATTTGTGCCACTCTCACTTGATTTTTCTGTGTCCAACCTTGAGAACCTAAACTTTGAAATATTGAAGACAAAACCACTAATTTTAATCGAGAGTCTTCTTAGATGATTTTGATTATCTAAGATGTAATTAACTATAGGGGCATGCCACTACACGGAACTGTGAACCCAAGAAAAATAAATTTTGTACAATCCTTATATTAGATAGGATATTGTCATTCAAAAATTTTGCTGATCAAAATAGAGTCATAAGCTTCTTAGCTTAAGTGGTTAAGCCTACAGATAAGTGATGCACTCATCTTTTGAGATGGTATATCACTTGTGGTATCGCAATCAACTATCTAAACTATATATATATATATA